CACCCCAACTGCCCACCACTAACAACCGTTAATTAAGGCCACAAGAATGAAATTTCTTGTTTTACTTCCGGACGAAAATTAAAATGATGAGGTTATTTATTATTTATGACAAGAAGCACTTAAAGAAGAGAACAAACATCTTTTCAAAATCATAAAAATTATCTTTAGTTCTTGTGGGTGATCATGACAGCTTTTCCTTCCTGTTTCCTAGTAATGGCAAGAGAGACACGTGGGAATGGAGCGTTCGTTGTGCTCTGCCGTTTTTGAAGGGAATGCTGTGGCTGCGGCTTCGGACTTTGGATTCGTCGACGAGTCCCGGTTCGAGCGTTCGAGTCCCCCGAATAGCGCGTTGGTCCCACTGTAAAACCCCTTGCCTAAGATCAGAAGAGGAAAGAAACTTATTCCAAATAATGACACATTTTGGCGAGCGTTGTCGGAACCTGCGGGCGGTGGGCGCGCAACAGGAGCTTCGACCTCGTGGCCCAACGCAGAGCCAACGGCCCACCACCGCCTTCGCAACCGCTGTTGGAGAATCTGACGAGGCGTTGGTGCTGTTGTTGTTTTTTGATGTCTATCGTGTGAATAGTCGATTCATCTGAAGTTACTTAGTTATGCTATTTGGTTCATATCATTATACTTACCAAACATGACCACGTCAGTATAATAGACAGGGTTGTAGTTATTGCTGTTATCATCACAATGTTGATGTTACTGTTTTATTATTATAATTGCCTTAGAATTGTTAATATTCTTGATGTTATCGACATTTTTTACGAAAATGAATCATCATTTTCGGTATCATTGCTGTTACCATCATCATCATTATCACTGCAATATTTGTGCCGTAACATGTGTAAATAAGTGCGTTTGCAATAAGATTAATTGTAAATATACGAACTGCTTTGAGGTGTGTGTCAGGAATCAGGACAAGCATGCCAATGATGGTTTATAATGACAGTATTGTTTTTTTTATTATTTTTATTATTTTTTAGCGATCGCGTGCTGTTGAATTTGTAGTTGCGAAAACAAACGATTTTTTTCTTACTGGTAGTCATTCTTTGTTGCCATTATTTTTCCATTATTAGCTATCATTGATATTGTTATTACTATTATCATTATCATAATGAATTACTATTATCATTATCATAGTAATCATTATTATTATTATCATTACTATCATTATCATTGATTATTATTATCTTTAATATCATCATTATTATCATTATTATCGTCAATATTATCATTATCATTATTAAAATTATAATCATCATTATCATCCGAGAGGCATAATTAGATAGTTTCGTAAAATTAGACATAGTATTTCGTGGTTTTATTTATGCATATATTCATATTTCACTTAATTCTATTAAAGGATAAATGAACTGCAATTTACTATTTGCTGCCTTGGCGCGATCTCATATCGAAATATGAAGTGGGTGAAGTGTGAAGTGAAAGACATCTAACGAGAGAATCACGTCGAGTACATAAATAGTTATTGTAATGCCATTAAAAAAAAGAAAAAAAAGTGAACATTAACTCAATTGTGTTAGTTTATATAGTTAAATAAAGCACATTATTGCAATTTTGATAAAGATGGGACAGCATTAATGGGCTACCGAAAGTAAAGCGTTTATCTTTTTATGGTAAAATCAAATTACTCCCATTTCAAATCATATTGCTAAATAACTAAAGGATTTTCACAACTACATCGGAATATATCCACGCTTTGGCACAGAAACTCCACCAGATAAGCCCTTAACCGACCTCAGCCAAACCAAACAACATCCACATTGATTCCCATCCTCGGGTCGTCCACGAACATCCATCCTCAGGTCAGTGCATCCCGATATGGCACTTCGAAGGCCTGGTCACGTGACACCCGAAGGCGGCGCCGAAGGGATCGACCGCCGCCCGGGGCAGCAAGTCAGGGTCGCCAGCCGTAATCAAGCGGAAAGTAGAATGATTTTTGTCGATACATTCGTCTGTATGTGTTTGCGTAATAATGTATATATATATATATATATATATATATATATATATATATATATATATATATGTATATATATATATATATATATATATATATATATATATATATATAGGTGTGTGTGTGTGTGTACATGCGTGTGTGTGTGTGTGTGTGTATGTTTGTGTGTGCGTGTGTGTTTGTATGTATGTATGTATATATACACATACATATTTATATATGCATGTTTGTGTGTATATACGTGTAGACGCCATCTTCCGAAGCAGGGCCCATTCCCATCAGCACCGGAGCCAGCAACCCGCGCCCCCGACACTCGCGCAGAGCAGATACACAGAAGCAACAACACAGCGGGAAGCAACGACCTGCATATACACAGAAATAAATCATTAACTGTCAGTCTAGCCATACATACTTCCCCGATAGATAGACAGATAAATGTCTGTCTTTCAGATAGTCTGATGGATATGCATTTATTTATGAATATTAATTAGAAAGAAACACTGGAGACAATAC